GGCAGGAGGGTGCCCGGCGCCGCCACGGTGGGTGCAGGCAGGGGTGTGGGCAGGAGTTGCGTGTGCACACACACGGTGCTTGCACAGACCGCACGTGCACGCAAACCGTGCATGGACACGTGCTCTGCGTGCACACTGGCTGCGTGTGCATGCACACCCTGCACGGACACACACACCCTGCAGGGACACACACACCCTGCGTGCACACTCACACTGCAAGGACAGACACGCTCTGCGTGCACACACATTGCATGTGCACACACATGGGGCTTGCAAACACAGTGTGTGCACATGCACTGCAAGGGCACGTGCTCTGCTTGCACACACACGCTGTGCAAGGATTCACACTCTGTGTACACACACGCTGCAAAGACACACTCTCTGCGTGCACACACATGGTAGGTACACACACACTTTGCAAGGGCATACACTCTGCATGCAGACTTATTGTGTGCACACACACACTGCTTGCACGCACAGTGCGTGCACAGGCACTGCAAGTGCACACACACTCCCATGCGCACGTGCACTCTGCTTGGGCACACACCCTGCGTGCACACACACTGCAAGGACAGACACGCTCTGCGTGCACACGCATTGCATGTGCACACACACGGTGCTTGCACAGACTGCACGTGCACACAAACCGTGCACGGACACGTGCTCTGCGTGCACACTGGCTGCGGGTGCATGCACACTGTGCACGGACACACACACTCTACGTGCACTCTCACGCTGCAAAGACACACACCCTGCATGCACACGCATTGCATGTGCACACACACATGCTGCTTGCACACACTGCAAGGGCACGTGCTCTGCGTGCACACACACGCTGTGCAAGGGTGTGGGCAGGAGTTGTGTGTGCACACACACGGTGCTTGCACAGACTGCACGTGCACACAAACCGTGCACGGACACGTGCTCTGCGTGCACACTGGCTGCGTGTGCATGCACACTGTGCATGGACACACCCACCCTGTGTGCACACTCACACTGCAAGGACAGACACACTCTGCGTGCACACACATTGCATGTGCACACACACGGGGCTTGCACACACTGCACGTGCACACAAACCGTGCACAGACACGTGCTCTGCGTGCACACGCCCACTGTGCAAGAACACACACTCCACGTGCACACTCATTGCATTTGCACACACATGCTGCTTGCATGCACGGCGTGTGCACATGCACTGCAAGTGTACACCGCTCCCATGCGCATGTGCACTCTGCGCGGGCACGCGCCCTGCGTGCACACACACTGCAAGGACAGACACGCTCGGCCTGCACACACGCTGCATGTGCACACACACGCTGCTTGCACACACTGCGTGTGCGCATGCACTGCAAGGGCACGTGCTCTGTGTGCACACACGCTGCAAAGACGCACTCTCTGCGTGCACACACATTGCATGTGCACACACACGCTGCTTGCACACACTGCGTGTGCGCATGCACTGCAAGGGCACGTGCTCTGCGTGCACACACGCTGCAAAGACGCACACTCTGCGTGCACACACAATTTGCAAGGACACATGCTCTGCGTGTGCACACGCACTGCAAGGACACACACTCTGCGTGCACAATTATTGTGTGCGCACACACGCTGCTTGCACGCACAGCATGTGCACATGCACTGTAAGTGCGCACACTCTCCCACGCACACGTGTACTCTGCGTGGGCACGCACCCTGCGTGCACACACACTTCAGCGCACACGCTGCGCGCGTGCATGGCATGTGCACACACATGGTGCTTGCACACACTGCACGTGCACAGAAACCGTGCAAGGACACGTGCTCCGCGTGCACACTCACTGCGTGTGCACGCACTGTGCACGGACACACATGCTCTGCATGCATGTGCATTCCATGTGCACGTCACAGTGCACAGACACGCACTCTGCACGCACGCACACACACACGTGCATGCACACACGCTCTGTGCACACTCGCTCTGTGCACACGCATACGCCTGCTTTCCACCTGTGCGCAGCCCCTTGCACAAGCGCAAACCCCCTTGCCCTAGTGCACAACCCCTCCTCGTACCCCTCGCCCTGCCCCGTTCACTAATGCACCCACCCCCCCTTGCACACCCCCTTGCACTAATGCACCCCACCTCCTGCTCACACTCCCACCCCTTGCACTATTGCACACACGACCCCGTGCACAGCCCCTTGCACAAGCGCACAACCCTCCCTTGCGCCCCGTGCACTACCGCGTCCGCCACCCCTTGCACGCCCCCTTGCACGAATGCACCCCCCCTCCAGCTCACGCTCCCACCCCTTGCACTACTGCACGCATGACCCCGTGCACAAGC